TGTGATTAACAAAATTAATTAATTTTAATTAAAGTAAATTAATTATATTTATTGGCTTTAATTTGAGGTAATTAAATTTATTTAATTATCTTGATTAGAGGAGGTTGATAAATATAATTAATTAATTTTAATTGATGTTAAATTAACCATCCAATTAAATTAATTATCATAATTAGTTAATTTCAATTTTTTACTTTCCTTAATCTTAGTCAAAAGTCAAAATTATTTCTCTTTATTTCAATTTCACTCAAAACTTTCATAATTAAGCAATTTAGTCCAAGGGTCTAACTCTTTTCAAATCAATCCTCCATGTTTGTGAATTTAGTCAAATCAGTCCTTCATGTTTTGAATTTAATCAAACTAGACCCTTTCATTTTTACTTGTGTTCATTGTGCATGCATGTCTTTGATTTTGTCCATTTTAGTCCAAAAGGTTATAAATGTTGCAATTTGGTTTATCTCTTTTTCAAGCCTGTTTATTAAGACCTAAATATAAACATAATGAATAAGTTGAATTAAAACCCCAATTTTAAAGTATGCAACCGTGTTTAAGTAGAAGATTGTGAAGTGTGCATATACCCTTCCTCACTCCTAACCGAATCCCCAAATTCCGATCTTTACGCAGATCCGTTTTAGGTGACTTATCCCACCTTATAATTTAGACGAATAACGACTCCTTTTCTTATATATTTCACACTTAACTTAATGTTTTTTTTTTTTTAATTTTAAGTGTGGTTGTCAACAATAATCAGCACATGTATTTGATCAATAAAAACTTGGTCAAATTGATATCCATTAACTTAAAAATTTTAATTTGTAATAAAGGTCAAAATTTTAAATTTTTGTATTATTAAACAACTTTCTTATATGTATATATTCATCGTAGACGAGTGAGGCGCACAATAGGAATCTGGCTTATCAAGGGTGCGGGAGTCAGAGGTAAGTGTACCAAGCGTGAAAATCGCAGCTTCCATTATCCATAGGCAGTTTGGCTTTGGCAGTACTGTTGCTCTGGCTACATTAGGATTCTGGCTATATTACATAAGTAAATTCCGACCAATTTACTTCATTTTCTTCCCTCCTTGTGCCCCTCCCTATTCCCTTCATTGCCATTCTGCTGCATAAGCATGGAAAAAGTTCAAACCTTAAGCATACAAAATATGCATGAAAATGTCTCAAAAGACGCAAAAGGGAAAGTCGTCATATAGCCAAACAAATCATAGAAGTTCAAACTGTGCAGGTTGGATCAGGCCATTTTCCCTTCACATGCATCAAAAAACCGAAAAGGAAAAAAATCCAAAAAATCATAAAAGTTCAAACCGAATTAAAATCCGATTGGGTTGGGTCTGGTCACCCGACTACAACTGATTGGGTCAACCCATCACCAAACCAATTGGGTTGGGCCTGGTCACTAGACCGGAAATTAACCTATTTCTTTTTATGTGGAACAACGAAACTTATATGATCAAAATCATGACTATATGACCTCCAAAGAACTTTATCATCATCTTCAAAACCATATGATCTCCAAGTTTAAAGGATATGGACAATCAAAGAATACTTAATGGCAATAAACCACGTAGTGCAAATGACACAGCAAATTTAAAAAGATTAAAGAAGCAACGCAGCGCAGTAGAGGAATGAGTTAAGAGGGATAAATAGGTGAGGGATGGGATGAATCAGATTGAATAATACTTGCTTTGAATTTGGTCTCAAATCACATGGAGAGGAAAAAGCAACATAGCGCAAGAGAGAAAGAAGGAGCGCTGTGTTCCTTCTTCCTCTCCTCGCGA